CACATTCTTGGCCGACGAAAATCTTGGATCCTATACCCTTGACATTGTCGGTTTTGTTAAACAAAATGATGATGGAACATTTGAGAACGGCGTATTCTCAGAGAATTGGGTGAAGGTTCAGCTTCCCAATGGCGGTGGCACGCAAGGCGAGCTCCGAATTGAAGCGAAATTCTTCTCGACATCTCTTATTCTCGAAGACAAATTTGTCGCAACTGTCGACGAGCGCTTGCTTTACATTCTCATCAGCTGGCGAAGACCTGATAATGCGTTCGAGTTTTCTTATGGCCTTGCACAGTTTTTCAAGTTCGTTCGGCCGAGGAATTGCGAAATAGTATTGGAGGCGCTCTTAAACTCTTCGCTCCCTTGATCTTAACGTATGGTCAACCGCTCTTGTTATAGGATTCTCTTCTGGAACTTTGGAAAGCTATCACAGAAAGTTCGGAACGACGGATTAGCTCTCAGGTTTATGACGTGGAGGATGAGGATCATCTGTTTGACGCCGTACGCAACTTCATCTTCCAGCCGAGTTGCGTTCAGAATTAGGTTTTGAACCAATTCAAAGTCAAGCTCGGCCACTGCGATACTGTGGCCCAAATGTCGGTGAAAGCGAACCTTGCGGATATGGGCTATGAAATACGAGAGCCAAGAGTATCGCATCAATTTATCTAACAAATTCTTCAAACAAATGGTATGTTTATGTTATATATGCATAGTCGTTACTACTTTATTCGAATAGACATTTATTAACGTTTTACTTCCCACTTTTTTGTTTTTGTAAAAAGTCATTACGGGTACATTCATTACACGCAAACTATTGCCATCCGTATTATTCGCCACTTCTTGACATACCAGACTACGGAAGGCCGTTACTATTACAGCCTGCTTTTCTATGGCTTTCAAAGTACCACGGCGTTGACGGAACATCTGCGAAAGTGCTTCAAATCTGATCACGTTAAAAAGATGCACTTGGATGTCTGGGTTACGGCAGTCACTCTGTGGTATATGAGACTGGTCGCTGTTGATTATCGGGCGGATTGGACTGAACGATACAACTGGTCTTATGTTTGGCTAAAGACACAAATTAACTAAGATGCTCAGCTTGAAAAGGAAATATTCGAATCTGCAAAGAAATGGGTAATTGAGAGATACCAAGTTGACAAAGAGGTTCTAGTCGCTGACGGCAGTTTTGTAAAGGAACAAGAGAATAAAACCAAGCTTACCGAAGCAAGAAGATAAAAGAAGGTACATTTCTTTGAAATTTAAGGGAATAATACTGGTTATTTTTATATCTTTGACAAAATATACTGATTTTTTTTTTGAAAAATTGTTAATTTGACACCCAACAGGCAAGACATATTGATTGGAAGACGCAGAAGTAGTTAATGAGGATACATTTTAAAACCTGATCCAGCACATGGATATTAATAATCAACCGGATTATGGTCTGGATCTAGGGAATTCAACGAGGCAGAAGTCAGAGTAGATATCAATGATGTGGGACCGTCATCTCCAATTACGCCTTCCCTTCAGTTATCTCATCCTCTATATCCAGGCTTATCAATGATCGTGGGAGAGTTTGATGAACATATCGACGATGAGGTGCAATCACCAAGCGTCACGTCTACTCCTCATTCTGTATATCCAGACTCATCAATGATTGTGGGAGAGTTCGATGAACATATTGACGACGAGGTGCAATTACCAAGCGTCACGTCTACTCGATCACCAGGCGTTACGCCCACTCGATTATCAAGCGTCACGTCTACTCGATCGTCAAAGGATAGCGTCAATATACCAAGCCTAAAATAAATCAGCGGCTGTCACTAGAACTACTTTACGAAGACAACCCCCTCGCAGTGTAATATCCTT